TGTAGAATCTTTCTGATGCTGTTCCTGTAGGCATCTTCTGACCCAGTTGTTTGGATATCCATTATCCTTGAGCACTTGGAAGAGGTATTCCTCCTCCTCTTGGCATAGTTCCATGTTGCTGCAGTGTGTTGTTGCCTTTTTAAATAGTATTCACTTCATCAGATGCTGCACTGAGGATGTTACCCAGCACAGTAATGAAACGTCTGCGGAACAACAACACAGCTCGGCGAGCCAACCAACCTCAACACCCACAACCCGAGCTACAGATCTACTCCAAAACCTTAAAGATCAAGGAAAACTCCAAGGTTTTTTACATGTACATGAGGAATAAGAGAATGACTGGAGAAAGGGTAGGGCCGATCAAGGATTGTAAAGGGAATTTGTGCATGGAGCCTAAAGAGATAGGAGAGGTCCTTAATGAATACTTTTCATTGGTATTCACAACTAAGAGGGACCTAGTTGTAGAGGAGGACAGTGTGAAACAGGCTGGTAGGCTAGAGGAGGTCGATGTTAGTAAGGAAGATGTGCTAGGAATTTTGAGATAGTTGAAGATAGATAAGTCCCCCGGGCCTGATGGGATTTATCCAAGGATTCTATCAGAAGCAAGGGAAGAGATTGCAGGGCCTTTTTGTCCTCACTGTCCACGGGTGTAGTGCCGGAAGCTTGGAGAGTGGCAAACATCATTCCCTTGTTCAAAAAAGGGAATAGAGATAACTCCAGAAATTACAGGCCAGTTAATCTTATGTCAGTGGTGGGCAAATTATTGGAAAGGGCTCTGAGAGATAGGATTTATGATCACTTGGAAAGGCACAGTTTGATTTGTGATAGTCAGCATGGATTTGTGAGGGGTAGATCATGCCTCACAAACCTTATTGAATTCTTTGAAGAGGTGACCAAACACTTGGATGAAGGTAAAGCAGTGGATGTGGTGTACATGGATTTAAGTAAGGTGTTTGATAAGGTTCCCCATGGTAGGCTCATGCAGAAGGTAAGGAGGCATGGGATAGGGGGAAATGTGGCAGATTGGAATCAGAATTGGCTGACCCTTAGAAGACAAAGGGTGGTAATGGATGTAAAATATTCAACATGGTGCTCAGTTATGAGAGGTGTACCACAAGGATCTGTTCTGGGTCCTCTTCTATTTGTGATTTTTGTAAAAGATTTGGATGAAGGAGTGGAAGGGTGGATTAGTAAGTTCGTGGACGATACGAAGGTGGGTCACGTTGTGGACAGTGCGGAGGGCTGTTCTAGGTTACAAAGGGACATTGATAGGATGCAAAGCTGGGTTGAGAAGTGGCAGATGGAGTTTAACCCTGAAAAGTGTGAGGTGATTAATTTTGGAAGGACAAACTTGAAAGCAGAATACAGGGCTAACGGAAAGATTCTTGGCAGTGTGGAGGAGCAGAGGGATCTTGGGGTTCATGTCCACAGTTCCCTGAAAGCTGCCACCCAGGTGGATAGAGTTGTTAAGAAGGCATATGGTGTGTTAGCTTTCATTAATAGAGGGATTGAGTTAAAGAGCCATGAAGTTATGCTCCAGCTGTACAAAAGCCTGGTTCGGCCACATCAGGAGTATTGTGTCCAGTTCTGTTCGCCTCATTACAGGAAAGATGTGGAAGCGTTGGAAAAGGTGCAGAGGAGATTTACCAGGATGTTGCCTGGAATGGAGGGAAGATCTTACGAGGAAAGGTTGAGAGAGCTCGGGCTTTTCTCTTTAGAACAATGAAGGATGAGAGGTGACTTGATAGAGGTGTACAAAGTGATCAGAGGTATAGATAGAGTAGACAGCCAGAGACTTTTTCCTAGGGTGGAGGTCGCTATTATGAGGGGGCATAGTTTTAAAGTGAGTGGAGGTAGATATAGGGGAGACATCAGAAGTAGGCTTTTTTACTCAGAGAGCGGTAGGGGCATGGAATGCATTGCTGGAGAGGGTAGGGGAGTCGGCCTCATTAGGGGAATTTAAGCAGCTATTAGATAGGCATGTGGATGATAGTATAAGGTGTGGAGGTTAGATAGACCTTAGGATTAGGGTAAAAGTTCGGCACAACATCGTGGGCCGAAGGACCTGTACTGTGCTGTACTGTTCTATGTTGTATGTTCTATGTTGTATGTTCTATGTTCTACACAATGCCAGTCAATGACTATCTCCCACAAGAGAATCTAACCATTAGCCCTTGACAGTCGATGTCATCACCCTCACTTAATCCTTCACCATCTGCCAAGTTGCTTTTTAAATCGAACATGTGCATGTTCTTGTGATGAAGAGGTACTGTTACTAATTGGGATATACTAGGCCTCTTATTTAAAAACGAGTTTGGGGATCATCTTGTGCAGTGGTAGTATTCCTAGTTCTTGGCCACAAGTTCAAGGTTAAAGATCCATTTGCCCCAGAGGTGTGCTTGAACATGTTGATGAAATATAATTTTTAGGGTTCTATGGCAGAATGGCAATGTCCCTATCTCTGGATCTTAAAATCTGAGTTCAAGTCAATGTGGAGGGAGTCTGTGTTGTCCTTTTTTTTATTCATTAATGGGATGAGGGTGTCGCTGGCTAGGTAGAATTTATTGCCCATCCCTAATTGCACAGAGGGCAGTTCAGAGTCAACCACATTGCTGTGGGTTTGGAGTCACATGTAGGCCAGACCACGTAAGAATGGCAATTTCCTTCCCTAAAGGACATTAGTAAACCAGATGGGTTTTTCTGACAATTGACAATGGATTCATGGTCATCATTCGATTCTTATTTCCAGATATTTTATTGAACTCAAATTCCACTATCTGCTGTGGTGGGATTCGAACCGGGTCCCCATAACATTATCTGGGTCTCTGGATTAACAGTCCAATGAGTCCTGCTCTGGGCAATGTGAATAAACTCATGTGGAAAACAGCTTGGCTCCTGCTTCATCCTTCATCCTGTCGGACAGATGTTTATCAGATTGACACCCTCAACAACCTGTTGCAGGGGTGGGGGGGAGCGGTTACCATGGACCAGAATTTGAACAGGATTAGCTGTGAGAATGCTGTAGCTACAACAGCAGGTCAGAGGTGAGCAATCTGAGTCCTTGAATATTTTTAAGGTAGAAGTCGATTCTTGTTAAACAATGGGATGAAAAGTTATTGGTGGTAGACAGGCAGGCAGATATGCTGTTACGGCAGCACAGTGGCTCACTAGTTAACAATGCTGCCTTACAATGCCAGGGACCCGAGTTCAATTCCAGCCTCGTACGACTGTCTGTATGGAGTTTGCACGTTCTCCCCGTGTCTACATGGGTTTCCTCTGGATGCTCTGGTTTCCTCCCACAGTCCAAAATTGTGCAAATTAGATGGATTAGCCCTGGGAAATGCAGGGTTAAGGGGACAGAGTACAGTGGTAAGTCTGGGTGAAATGCTCTTTGGAGAGTTGGTGTGGACTTGTTGGGGTGAATGGGGTGTTTCCACATTGTAGGGATTCTATGGATAGATCAGCCATGATCCTATTAAATGGTGAGGTTCAAGAGCCTGAAAGGCCTTTTCCTGCTCTTAATCTGAATATTCATACATAAAACTTGCAGAATTGGAAAATAATTTACACTGATGAAAGTGTGATAGCTTTTCATTCGGAAGAACAATGAGATCACTTACTGTGAGGAAATTGAGAGACCAGGTGGAAACTGAGAAAATAAACAATGGGTGTAAACACATAATGTGCAGATGTTGGTGTTGGACTGGGCTGGACAAAGTCAGATGTCACACGACACCAGGTTATAGTCCAACAGGTTTAGTTAAAATCACAAGCTTTCACAGCACTGCTCCTTCATCAGGTGAAGTGACTGTTGGAGAATAACCTGGTGTTGTGTGACTTCTGAGAGATAGAAAGAACTGCTGATGCTGGAGTGAGAGATAACACAGTGTGGAGCTGGATGAACACAGCAGGACAAGCAGCATCAGAGGAGCAGGAAAGTTGATGTTTTGGGTCAGGACCCTTCTTCAGAAATGTTGTGTGACTTCTGACTTTGACTGTAAATAGAGCAATGACTAAAAGTTTGGTGACCAAGACCATTTAAAAAAAAACATATAAAGCACCACCAGGTTCATTTTTCTAAAGCTAAAGAATTGAAAATTAGGGAAGTTATAACCTAATCTTGTATCAAATCTTGGTTAGGGCATATTTAGATACTGCCAGTAGGTTGTCATATTTTACAAAGGGACACAGACACTAGAGTGGCACAGAGCGGAGTTACAGGATAATCCCAGAAATGTCACAAAAGGATTGAATGGCAGGGCCTCTCATAACTTTTAAAAAAGAAGACTGAAGGGGTGATCTGCTGGAATTATTTAAGTATTAAATAGTTGTGGTTGAGTGGATAGAATGGATAGAGAATGTTTCTTTTTGTGGTACAGAGAATATCTGAAGGCTATCAAAGAAGCTAGTTACGGAGAAATCCAATAGAGAAAAAGTCTTTACGAGTGACGACAATGTGGCGTTTGCTACCACAAGGAGAAGCTGAATTGAACAGTGGTGGCATTTAAGGGAAACTAGATAAACATGAGGGAGAAGGGGATAGAGGGCCATGATGGATGAGGAAAGATAGAAGCAGCACAGAATGGAGATTATACACTTGCATGGATCAGTCATGGTGAATGGCCTGTTTTTGTGAAAGAATTGTTGTCTGTTTCTATTTATTCATGGGACATGAGTGTCACTAAATTACCCATCATGAATTAATTAAGAGTCAACCACATTGCTGTTGGTCTGCAGTGCTGACTAGACCAGACCAGGTGAAGACAGCAGTCATGAATAAACTGGATAGGCTTTTTGTCAATCAACAGTGGTTACATGGACACCATTAGGCTGGCTTTTTTATTGAAATCAAATATTCACCACCTGCTAGAGTGGGATTTAAGTCCATGTCCCCACAACATCACCTGGAGTTCTGGATTACTAGCCCAATGACATTACTGCCTGCCTTAAATAAATCTAACTTAAAATATTGAGCTTAGGTTAACCAATTACTCTCCTACCAGCCTTTGCTTGGGAGTGCAATTCCAAATGCTGGAGGCTCTCTAAATCCGATAGCATGTTGAGGTCCCTGGAGAAAAATGATAAGAACATTTTCAGATGATTTTAAATAGCCCAATCGGCAAATTGTTTAGTTGCAACGCTAATGGGAGTAATGGATAATGTACAAGAATGTTTGCCAGGCATCTCTCATTCTTGATGAACCAATGAACTGCCTGCAGTGAGTTTCAAACAGCTAACAGCTGTATCTTAAAGTGAAATCTTTATTATCTGAATGTGTTTCAGCAATTATTACAATGCATTCAATTTTATACAGATCAATTATAAAAGAAAATAGATTTGTATCAAAGAAGGTCCTTGCTTTCTCTTCTGTATGTAGCTAGAAAACTGCTTGGCAACGGAGAACATAAACAGAACATAAACTTTGCTGAAAAAAGACAGAAATTCAAAACTTTTCTTCTTGCACTCATTAGCACTTAAATTCACTCCAGGCAGGTCGTCTGTAATTGGTCAGGGTGTCGCCACAAAGATATTGACTGTAGTCTCTTCATTAAATGCATTTAACTTTATTTCAATTTTTGTTATTTGCTGTAAATATAACAAAATATCTTTTAAACATAAGCATAGGGCTCTTTTGTGCAGAAGTAATTATGCTATCTCTAAGCCAGGAGGGGCCCAGATTCAACACCCACTTGTTCCAGAGATGTGTCCTAGCATCTCTGAAGAGGTTGTCATAGAAAATATTTTTATGCTTAAGTAGGTAATATTGTTTGAAATCTCCTTTGAACTTCTCAATTGTATGTTTCATGAAGATTTTGCATTGTAACATTTTTACCCTCCAAGTTTTAAGCCAGAGACACATAATAAACATTGAAATTACTTTGGGAAGGTTGTACAGTTTTAGGCAAAAAGAACAATTTTGATTTTAAACACTTTTTTACTTGAAAGAACATTGAGATGAAAAGATCCTTTCCCACCAATTATCAGAGATGATAGCAGGCATCATGAGCCAAGTTTCATAAAGGTTTCACCTTAATATAATGAAAAACAAAAGTTATGAAGTTTGAATGGTAAACAGAAAGGTGGGGAAAAACTCACAGTCTTACACATATTTCAGCTTCCCCAATCGGAACACCAATAATGCCTTGAACCTCTTCATAAGTTTTACCAGTCAAAGGAATTCCATTCCATTCAAGAACTTGCATTCCTACCAAACAAGGCACAGACAGTGAGATTGTTAAAAAATGCAAAAGTATAGTATTTCTTTTGGGTGAGATTCAACCAATTCTTGTAATCCTAGCTAAATCACTTCCTCTTTAATTGACTCTCTACTTGTCTGTTACAACCCCTAGCAATGAACAATGAGATAAATTGCCCAGATAAAATGGGTTGCTATTTCAGTCAGTTATCATTCACATCTTTTGCTGATCTAAAAGTAATTTCTGTTGAAAACCATCCTTTTAGAAATATTACAACATTTTGAGTATGTCATAGATGTTCTATTCCAAAAAACCATGTAATGAAAAACAAAAGTGGAGCCGATCTTTACACACCTTTATAAGAATAATTTATAGGGTTACAAACATGCACTACTGTTACAGTGTCAGTCTGCTTCCCAGTTGGTCCACCACCTGAACACAATCAAGTATTCAGTTACTAAATAATTAAGAGGTACTGACAGCATCCAAAATGTTGAATTAATATTGGGGTCAATAATATTTAAGACACTTCAAATAATTCGAATTATTTCACAGCAAACAGAAGGAAAATATTCTTTAAAACACACCAAGCATGCATTTCCTTTCCAGGTCAAATCAAAGCACATTTCAAATTTTTCAGCAAATGGTCAAAGATAAGAAGAAACAGTCAAGGTGATGCAAAACAATTGATGCTCTGACTTACACTTACAGTAATGTTAGCGAGTCAATAGAAAGGGTCGATAATTATGGCCAAAAATATTGAGTGCTGCACAAAATAAATGGTAAAATAATATTACAATAAATATGCATTTATAAAGACCACCATCTTTCCAACACTGGAATCTTTCATGTTCTTTATTACCAAACCATGGTAATATACCTACCACCAACACAACACATGAGACAGCTCCGAAAACAAATGATTTCATGTTGCACGCATTGAATAGCAAAGCTTGCTCTTGAAAGATTTGCAGACAAAGGGCCACAAAGAGAGTTTGTTGTTTTTTTCATCAATTGAAAACCTGTTTCTATATTTATTGTGTAGTCGCTAGAGACACACAACTTTCTCAGACCATTTTCTTTGTGTCTAATTAATGTGTCAAGCTACAATTCAGTAACACCAGGAAAGCTTAGAAGAAACTATACTCAAAATTATTCTGCTACCTTTACCTTCCGAATAGAAGGCTGGCTAGCTCAGTTGGCAGCAAAGTACCTGGTTCAGTTTTTATAACTATATTGATTATAACTACATTGAGTTCAGTTCCTGTTCTGATGAAGGGTGACTTGAGACCTGCCTCCTCAGCCCACCCCTGAGAGTGAAAAGCAATAATAAATGTCAAAAATTGCCAAGGGTAAAAGATGGTTCAGTATGCAACATCAGCAAGCAGTGAGACAAGGAACTGTGTTTGTGTAGGGCACACAAACCATCTCTCCAACAACCTGGATGAAAATTGGTACAATTAATCACAGTTAACCGTGAGAGAAATTCAATTGCCAAGTACCCTGTTCTATCTGTGTATGATGCTTAGAACTTCTGTACACTGGAAGTTGAAGTTCATGCACAGTTACCATTACCTGCTGAGTTAGAGTGGCCTATAACAATTTCTGAGGTTGTTGACTTGCTCGCCAAGCTGGCTTGTTTTTGTTCAAATATTTCGTCACCATACTAGTATTCTCACAATAACAGACCTGACAGTATAAATTCCAAGAGGAGTAGAACAACATCACTTCATCGGAGGCCTCACTGATGATATCACCTAGCATGGTGATGAAACGTCTGAACGAGAACAAACCAGCTCAGCAATCAAGTCAACAACCTCACCCACAACCCGAGCTACAGATCTTTGCTAATATATAACAATTTCTGTTTAATCTCTGTCTGGTCGTAGAGGTATATCTATCTTCAACACACTTGTACACTGTTTTACATCCTCTTGTGACACCTTTACATATGAAAACAGATCCTATGGAATAGATTTTAAAGCTGCAGGATGTGGCAGTAAAAGTCTCCTGAGGTTCAACCACTGATAATGTACTTTCATGATTGAAGCAGAAATAATTAAGTTGTGTTTAGACTTCCCTGCATTTGAACAGATCATACAAAAGCAGCACAGTTTTATACTCAGTCTTAATCTGAAACTCCAACATCAACATCAACATAAGATGTAATTTCAATTTTTTTATATCTGTTCTATTAACAGCCATTTCACATTCTGCATATCTTCTTACAAGACCAATTTGCAAATTAATTGCACTTGAACAATGATTGTTTTTTAAGATCACATCTTGAATGTCATTTTTAGTCTGCATATAATGCTGGGCCAATAAAATTAGTCTATCTGAAAGTCTTCTGCTGAAAACATTCAAGAATAAGCTCTTCAATGATGCCAAGATAACCGTATCTATGGTGTTATGTGCATGAAAAGATGATCACCAATGTATTTATTATTTCTGTAGTAATCCCTTTCAACACTATAGAGTTAAGGTCAGCAGGTCTCCGGAATTGGTCAACTTTTAATCTCGTTACTTTCTCCAATACACTTTGTTTTACTGGTACTAATTTCTTTCAGTTTCACATTCTCATTAGAATCTTTGAATCTTAATTCTTTCAGGGAGACATCTTCGGGTTTCCTCTGTGAACCAATGTTTGCTCACCCTTACCAATGCATAGCTTCACCTGAATAGATTCTACATTCTGTTCTTCCTGCAGGAGATCCTCATTTATTAACACACAAATCCCATCCCTTATTATTAGCAATCCCTCATCTATTTTTTCTTCGTGCCTATCCTTAAATATCAAATTCTTTAAGAGTCAGTTTCCAGCCTTTGTGGCCCAACAGCCACATCTCCAAAATGTAATTAAATTATACTCTATTACTTCTACTCGACCACAAATTCATCATCTTATTGTGAATGCTGTATGCATTTAGATAGAGTGCTTTTCATTTGGCCTTTTCAAGAGTATTCTGTAATTTGACTCTGGTTTGATGTTAGGATTTGTTTTTGCTGCTTTCCTGTTTCATTTACAGCTTTTACACATCCTAAAACCTGCTTTATTTTTAGTCTTACTGAATTCCCTCTCAGGTTCCCATCCCCCTGACCAGCTAGTTTAAGCCGACAGTACTAATCAATTTTCCTGTGAGGATATTTGTCGTGGGCTTCCAGAAGACATTCAACAAGGTGCTGCACAAAAGGCTGCTGCAGAAGATAAAGGTGACAGTGTTACGGGTAATGCATTAACAAGGATAGAAGATTGGTCAACTAACAGAAAGCAAAGAGTGGGGATAAATGGGTGTTTCTGGTTGGCAATCAGTAGTTAGTGGTGTGCCTCAGGTTCAATGTTGGGACCTCAACTGTTTACAATTTATATAGATGATTTAGAGTTTGGGAACCAAGTGTAGAATGTCAAAGTTCACAGGTGACACTAAGATGAGAGGTAGAGCAAAGTGTGCAGAGGACACTGAAAGTCTGCAGAGGCATATTGATAGGTTAAGTGAGTGGGCAAGATTCTGGCACTTGGAGTACAACGTTGGTCAATGTGAGGTCATCCATTAATAAGAGCAAGAAGGACTATTATTTAAATGGTGAAACTTTGCAGCATGCCTGCTGTGCAGAGGGACCTGGGTGTCCATGCTCATGAATCACAAAAAGTTGGTTTACAGGTGCAGCAGGTAATTAAGAAGACAAATGGAATCTTGTCCTTCATTGCTAGAGAGATGGAGTTTAAAAACGGGGAGGTCATGCTGCAGCTGTATAGGGAGCTGGTGTAGAAACACCTGGAGTACTGTGTATAATTTTGGTCTCCTTACATGAGAAAGGATGCACTGGCACTGGAGGGGGTGCAGAGGACATTCACTAGGTTGATTCTGGAGTTGACAGGGTTGGCTTATGAGGAGAGATTGAGTATACTCGGACTATACACATTTGAATTTAGAAGAATGAGGGGGAATCTTATAGAAACATATAAAATTATGAAGGGAATAGACAAGATAGAGCATGAAGTTTGTTTCCACTGGTGGGTGAAGCTCGAACTAGGGGGCATAGACTCAAAATGAGTTGGCGGGGGCAGATTTAGAACTGAATTGAGGAGGAACCTCTTCACCCAAAGGGTTGTGAATCTGTGGAATTCCCTGCCCAATGAAGCACTCGAATGAATACCTTGTTGAATATGTTTAAGGCAAAGATAGGAAGATAGATTTTTGAGCAGTAAAGGAATTAAGGGTTATGGTGAGAGATCATAGATCATAGAATCCCGACAGTGTGGAAACAGACCCTTGGGCCCAACAAGTCCACACCGACCATCAGAGCACCCACCCAGACCCATCCCCCTATAACCCACTAATCTACACATCCCTGAACACTACGGGCAATTTAGTACAGCCAATCCACCTAGCCTGCACATCTTTGGACTGTGGGAGGAAACCGGAGCACCCGGAGGAAACCCACACAGACACAGGGAGAATGTGCAAACTCCACACAGGCAGTCGTCCCAGGGTGGAATTGCACTTGGGTCCTTGGCGCTGTGAGGCAGCAGTGCTAACCACTGAGCCACCGTTGGATAAGTGGAGAAGTTGGATAAGTGGAGCAGAGTCTACGAAGAGATAATTCATGATCTTATTGCATGGTGGAGCAGGCTTGATGGGCCAGATGGCCTACTCCTGCTCCTATTTCTTATGGCCTTATAGACAGGATCTTGACTTCACTGCTTGAATGTATATTGGAGTTGGGTTCAACGAAGGCTTTCAAAAGGGAATTGAATGGCTTTTTGGAAAGGAAGAATACGCAGGTTTATGAGAAAGAGAATGCCATTAAGTGAGATGCCCATTTAGAGATCTAGCACAGACACGATGGCCTGAACGGTCTCCTTCCTCCATATAACCATAATGTGATTATGCTGTTGTGCCTTTGGCTAAGCAGTTAGAGGCCAGGGGACCCATTCTATCCTGGGTGCAATTCCATAAGTGAGAAGCTAGAACTCAACCTCCCTCCTATTTTGTTCCATTTCCCA